GGTCCAGTCAATGGTTACCTGGATATTAGCATATTTGGCAGAAGATAATAATCGAGCATAATTATATCCATTTTGTCAGAACTAATAATAAATAATTATAGAAAAATACGTTGACAAAAATCAACTTTTTGATGGGGAAAATATGGCACCTAAAGAGTTAACTTGTACATTACAAATACTAACGTACATTGTTTTCCATTTTAGTTGAGAGCACTCCGTCTCAACCACGTAACTTGCAGGCATTTGCATACTCAAGTACAGAAATCACAGTCACATGGGATCATCCAGAGGAGCTTAGCTCAATAATGGCTTACAATGTACTTTACAGACTAACTGCTGGTAAGATCTTTTGTTATCAACTTAAATGTTGCCTTTATGTGGCACGTATTAGGTAAACCATTGGTTTTAAAGCTGGATGTCAAGACATTTCAAATGACTTGATAACATTGACCAAGATTATTGTTGTTCAAGTTTAAATGAGAACAACAACAGAAGAAGCATGGGATATTAGCGGAAATCTTAATTATTAGTCCCTGTTCGGTTGAAGTCCAAAAACTGGGACTATTAATTTGGGTTTGTTTCGTCCGTATGTACGTCTGAAGCTATATCTCGGACACCCATTGACGGATTTCCTTTTAAACTTTACATGAAGACAATACATAAAGTTTTACATATGCGTGTCAAGTTATTTTTTGATCGGAAAAAAAATTGCCAACTAGTGGCCATTTTGGATGTAAAATTTGCTATTTCTGATACCTAAAAGTGTCCGCAGCAATTTCTTTGAGATGACTGGGCCGATTTGGATCAAACTTAGTATGATGATCACACATATTTGGTTATAGGTGCACGTCATATTTTTTCTTGATTCAAACAAATATGGCCGACTGGTGGCCATTTTGTAATGAACGTTTCTGTTTAAATATATACAAAGACAGTATACCAATAGATACATCAACATGAACATTATTTTTGTAATTTGATTCTATTTGACTGCCCAATGTCCAATTCTCATGTAAAAGCACTAAATCCATCTCCTATTAATGGTTTCAATCTAATCTCAATGACTTCATCAGCATCAAATTGATATGTCAGATCACAAAATTTTGGACGGGGACTGTGTCATTAATAATGACTTGTTAGTCCCCGTTCGAACGCAGTCCAAAAACAGGGACTTATCTTTTGACCTCTGTGCGTGCGTCTGTGCGTGCGTCTGTGCGTGCGTCCGGACCTGTATCTTAGAAATGCCTGGACCAATCACAATCAAACTTCACACATACATCATACATGATATCATACATATGCACGTCAATTTGTTTCATGATCTGATTCAAGATGGCCAAATGGCGTCCATTTTTGTGCTAAAAATCATCAAAATCAAGCATTTCTCGGTTGTTTACAGATGAATTTTGTTCAAACCTTGTATATATGTTGGACATTATAAGACCTTGATGCACATCATTTTGTTTTACGATCTGATTCAAGATGACCAAATGGCGGCCATTTATGTTCAAATTTTAAATATTCATTATACATCATATCATAGATATATTAGTTTGACGATCCTATTCAAAATGGCCGAATGGTTGTCATTTTTGTACTAAAAAATCATCAAATATCAAGCATTTCTGGCATTTATGGATGGATTTCGTTCAAACTTGTCTGGCGGCCATTTTGTTTTAATGAATGGGTTTCCAGACCCATATGTCTGAGTTGTTTTGTCTGATTATGTTCAAATTTTTAATATTCATTATACATCATGTCACAGATATACAGGTATATTGGTTTGATGATCTTTTTCAAAGTGTGCTATTTTTGTGCTAAAAAATCCTCGAATATCAAGCATTTCTTGCATTTATGGATGGATTTTGTTCAAACTTATAACACACGTTAGACATTACAGGTTCCTGATGCATGTCATTTTATTTTCAGATTGGATTCAAAATAGCTGACTGGCGGCCATTTTGTTTTAATGATTGGGCTTCTAGAGCCATATCTCTTAAATACTTTGATTATATTCAAATTTTATATATTCGTTATACATCATGTTATATATATATATATATATATATATATACATGTATTCAAAATGGCTGATTTTGAATGCTGTTCCAGAACAATATCTCTCAATATGGACAAGTACTTGTTTGAGGATCAGATACAAATGTCAATCATTTTAATGTTAAAAAAAATCATATTCCTGACATGGTTATATTACAGCTATATTACTATAAACATAACTATATATCTCAAATTTGATAACTAACGGGGACTGTGCCATGCATGGCTTGTTTTATTATATATTTCATGATAAATGATTCTGTGATCTTGTGTGTCACCATGCAATGATTCTGTGACCTTGTGTGTCGCCATGCAAAGATTATGTGACCTTTTGTTGCCATGCAAAGATTTGGTGACCTTGTGTTGCCATGAGATGATTCGGTGACCTTGTGTTGCCATGCAAGGATTCGGTGACCTTGTGTCGCTATGAAATGTTTCAGTGACCTTCTGTCACCATGCAATGACTCTGTGACCTTGTGTCACCATGCAAAGATTTGGTGTCCTTGTGTTGCCATGCAAAGATTTGGTGACCTTGTGTTGCCATGCAAAGATTTGGTGACCTTGTGTTGCCGTGAGGTGATTCAATGACCTTGTTTCGCCATGCAAAGATTCAGTGACTTTGTGCCGCTGTGAAATAATTCAGTGACCTTCTGTCACCATGCAATGACTCTGTGATCTTGTGTCACCATGCAAAGATTTGGTGACCTTCTGTCGCTATGAGATGATTCAGTGACCTTGTCACCATGAAATGGTTCAGTAATGTTATCCCCATTAAAATGAAGTAGTGAAATGACTTAGTGACTTTGTGTCCAATGCTTACAATTCATAGGTTTTAATTGTTTTCAAGCACAAAGATGGGTGTGATGCTGTCTGTCAGTATACGTTAAATTATTTGTATTTGAACCTTAAAATTATTTTGACATGATCAGTCATTTATGACGTAATCAATATTCCTATATTTTCTCTCTCGTTTTTGTTTTCATTTTTTCCAGACATAATCAAAGTTTTAAATTTTTCACTATGTTGTCTTTGACATAATCAAGGTTTCCATGTTTTCACTGTTTCTTTGACAAAAATCAAGGTTTCCATGTTTTTATTGTGTTTCTATAACAAAAATCAAGGTTTCTAAGTTTTTACCATGTTTCTATGACAAAAATCAAGGTTTCTATGTTTTTACTTTGTTTCTATGACAAAAATCAAGGTTTCTATGTTTTTACTATGTTTCTATGACAAAATTCAAGGTTTCTATGTTTTTACCATGTTTCTATGACAAAAATCAAGGTTTCTATATTTTTACCATGTTTCTATCACAAAAATCAAGGTTTCTATGTTTTTACCATGTTTCTATCACAAAAATCAAGGTTTCTATGTTTTTACTTTGTTTCTATGACAAAAATCAAGGTTTCTATGTTTTTACTATGTTTCTATGACAAAATTCAAGGTTTATTACAGAGTATTGCATACTAACCCCTTTGGTTAATGAAATTTTAATTTCATAAACAAATGGGATAATTGCCAATTATCATATAATACTGGTTAAATAAAATCAAAATAACAGTGGATAGCTCCCGTAGGGGGCGTCCTTCCCCTGTCATCTGATTTGCATACTTCCATTTTTAACCACGAGATTGATTCACGGTTGAAATTTGGGCTTGCCAAAATATCA